ATTAAATCTGCCAAACATTTGCATATGGTATTTATTGCACAGTGTTTTATATTTTCCAGGGAGAGAGAGAGATTGGTTACAGTCAATAAGTTGTATAACTGATCCCTGAATTCACTCTTTCCTTTCTGTGTAAGTTGATTCCAAGGCATCAGACTATAGACCTGGAACAGAGGAGCAGAGGCATAATTCAAATTACTGAGCATCTTCTGCTAACAATGTGTCGTAATTTTTTTACTTAGTAGATATGAACTTAACCCAGAACCTAAGTTACCTTAGTTCATGTGTACTTAGGTTCTGGGTTTAAAAAAAATGAATTATATCATTCTAGTCTTTTAATTAATTAATTAATTAATTTTTTCTTGAGACGGAGTTTCATTCTTGTTGCCCAGGCTGGAGTGTAATGGCATGGTCTCGGCTCACTGCAACCTCCGCCTCCTGGGATCAAGTGATTCTTGTGCCTCAGCCTCCCAAGTAACTGGGATTACAGGCGCCTGCCATCACACCCAGCTAACTTTTTTGTATTTTTAGTAGAGACAGCGTTTCTACTGTTGGCCAGGCTGGTCTTGAACTCCTGACCTTAGGAGATCCGCCTGCCTCGGCCTCTCAAAGTGCTGGGATTACAGCTGTGAGCCACTGTGCCCAGCCTATAATTTTTGTTATTTTATTTTACTTTAAGTTCCAGGATACATGTGCAGAATGTGCAGATTTGTTACATAGATACACATGTGCTATTGTGGTTTGGTGCACCACCTATCAACCTGTCATCTGGGTGTTTTTTTTTTTTTTTTTTTTTGGGACAGAGTCTTGCTCTGTCACCAGGCTGGAGTGCAGTGGCACTCTAAGCTCACTGAAACCTCCATCTCCCAGGTTCAAGTGATCCTCCTGCCTCAGTCTCCCGAGTAGCTGGGACTACAGACGCGCACCACCACGCCTGGCTAATTTTTTACATTTTTTAGTAGAGATGAGGTTTCACCATGTTGGCCAAGATGATCTCGATCTTCTGATCTCGTGATCTGCCCGCCTCGGACTCCCAAAGTGCTGGGATTACAGGCATGAGCCACCGCACCCGGTCACCATCATCTAGGTTTTAAGCCCTGCGTGTATTAGGTATTTGTCCTAAGGGTCTCCCTCCCCTATAGCTCTAGCCTTCAATTCAAAGTCTAGTAGGGAAAATTTTTTTATTTTTTTGGGACAGGGCCTTACCCTATTGCCCAGGCTAGAATGCAGTGGCACAATCTTGGCTCGCTGCAACCTCTGCCTCCCTGGCTCAAGCCATCCTCCCACTTCAGTTTCCTAAGTAGCTGGGACTAAAGGCATGTATCACTGTTCCTGGCCAATTTTGTGTGTGTATGTGTGTGTGTGTGTGTGTATGTATGTACACACACACACACATACATATACACACACATACACACACACACACACACATATATATATATATATATTTTTTTTTTTTTAAGAGAACAGGTTTTGCCATGTTGGCCAGGCTGGTTTTGAACTCCTAAGCTCAAGCAATTCACCTGCATCGGCTTCCCAAAGTACTGGGATTACAGATGTGAGCCCCCGTGCCTGGTTGAAACAAATATAAATAGGTGCCAATGGAATGTAAAAAACCCCTGTATTGAAGCACTGTGTCACAGGTCACCACCCTTGCCTAGCGAACTCTTCTCAGAAGGGAGGAACTTTGAGCTGGGTCTTGAAGAATGAGTTGGAGTTTTCCAGAGAAAAAAGAAATCTGATGGTCTTTCAGGCAGAGGAAACAGCATATGTTTGGGAGTAAGAGTTTTGGGAGAAAGGCAGAGAGTTCTGTGTAACCAAATTAAAAGGAGTGTGTGAGTGTATTGCTTTGAGCCCCATTTATATTTTATTTCTGAACCTACTCTGTGAACTTTTCTTCTGTCTATTGCTTTCTGAAGTGTTTAAATAAACAATGATTCAAGATAGACCCTACACTTAGTAGCCTTTCTCTCTATTGTGGAGTGGGTTAAGATGAATCTCCAGGATATTTATAGATTATACCTTTAACATGTTCACAATGTATTGACTAAGACAAACTAGAAGCATTTTACTTCTATTTACTTGTGTGAGTGGAAGGAACTGAAGCATAAAGATCTGTGAATGACTCATTTGGTGGGGGGTGTTAGGCTATAACTTAAGACCTCTGATTTCAAGGGAGCCTTTGGTTCATATCTGCACATCTTCCAAGATCTACAGGCATTGTTTTCCACAGCACAAGTACCTCACCATCTTAAGGGAAGGCACATAAAAGGAGCAACTGTCTCTGCCAACCTGAGATCCTTTTTATTCTGAAAATACCACCTGTACTTACTGTTTACCACCCACCAAGAAAGCAAGTGTTTAACAGCTCAGTCTTGGGTATCCACAGGGCCTTAGCCTATGCTCAGCACAATCTGATGGGAATTGGAGATCTATAAGACATATATATATATATTTTTTACCTTCTTGGAGTTTGTAATTGGGATGAGATTACCACCCAGTTAGAGCTTAATTACAGAGAGTTGGGCTGGGCGTGGTAGCTCAAGTCTGTAATCCCAGCACTTTGGGAAGGTGAAGCAGGAGGATCCCTTGAGTCCAGGAGTTCAAGACCAGCCTGGGCAAAAAAGTGAGACCCTATCTCTATAAAAAATAAAATAAAATAAATTAGCCAGGTGTGGTGGTGTGTGTTTGTAGTCCCAGGTACTTGGGAGACTGAGGTGGAAGAATGGCTTGAGCCCAAGAGTTTGAGGCTACAGTAAGCCGGGTTTGCCACTGTATTCCATTCTGGGCAACAGAGCCAGACTCTGTCTCAAAAAACAAAAAAATTTATGGAGGGTTGACTACAGAAGCACAGTAATTCTACCTGTTCCTGATGATGGACTTTCAAAACCTTTTTCTGAATCAGAATTTCCAGCTGCCTCCTGAAACATTTACCAGGATGTGCCAAAGACCCTTAAATTCAACAGATTCAAAATTAGATTGGTTAATTTTTTTTTCCTATTATTTCTATGTCAAGTGTTCTCTATTCTATATTTAGATCTTGGTTAATGGTATTATCTCCTGTTCAGCACGCAAACTAGATATCTGTGGGCCATAAATGACTTCTTCCTTTCTCTAACACTTTATCCAGACTACCACTAAGTCATGTTCATTGAATCTTCAAAATGAGTTTCAAATTTCCACTGTAATTTGGTGTAAATGTAATAGTCTATAATTCATATTATGCCAAAAATGTATAGCTTCTATGCATGGGTAGCAATGGATGCTGTGGTTGGAACATCTGTTTGACAATGTATGTTGGCTCAGTTTCTTCTGGTTACACCCATTTCAGGTTAACTCAGACTTGTAAGATTTCTCTCCACTCCTGGCTCCTCCCCCAGAGGCATCTGGGTGTGGAGGAAAGCTGACTTGTCTCATGTGATGGGAGAAGTGTATCTGGGGATTGGGAGGTGATGGAGGCAAGATACACCTGCTGTCCTCTGAGTTCTTGCTTGTCTCCAGCTGAGGTGTCCTTTGCTTTTCCCTGTGTGTGTCAACCTATGTTCTCACTAAACCATCAGTGACAGAACTAGTCCCACCTGGTCTTTGGTATGTGTTAGCATCTGCTGTTGTTGAGCTAGGACTCCACCATAGTCTCTGGTCCTGTGGCTGCTGCATTCTGGCTCAAAGTCCCTGCCATTTCTTAAGTCCTTGCAGCATGTCCTGCTCCCCTGAGCAGGTGGGAACCTCTGGCTCTTCTGCACTTTACTTATATGCCTCAAGTCCGGAAACATGTCTGGGTAGACACTTTCACTGGATGGGTAGAGGCTTTTCCCACAGGGTCTGAAAAGGCCACCGCGGTCATTTCTTCTCTTTTGTCAGACATAATTCCTCAGTTTGGCCTTCCCACCTCTATACAGTCTGATAATGGACTGGCCTTTGTTAGTCAAATCTTTGCTCCATCTCTAGAAGATGAAGGGCTTTCTCTAGTTTTTCCCCTTTCTGTATGGTCAGGTCATATCATTCCCCATGTGAATGCAGCATTTCAACTCCTTTCCCTGTAGCCGTAAGATGATAGGACTGTAGGGGAATATGATTTATAGAGGAAATAAGGACTACATTTACTGTTTTCAAAATAGTATTCTTATTACATATAGATTCATTTATACATACACACCTCTGTGCATTTTTTATTAAAACAAAATCATTACTATACTTATTTTTTGTAACGCCTTTTTAAATCAAACAATATATATATTTTTTTGCGGGGGGAGCGGGGGACGGAGTCTCGCTCTGTCGCTCAGGCTGGAGTGCAGTGGTGTGATCTCGGCTCACTGCAAGCTCCACCTCCCGGGTTCACGCCATTCTCCTGCCTCAGCCTCCCGAGTAGCTGGGACTACAGGCACCTGCCACCACGCCCAGCTAATTTTTTGTACTTTTAGTAGAGACAGGGTTTCACCGTGTTAGCCAGGATGGTCTCAATCTCCTGACCTCGTGATCTGCCCACCTCAGCCTCCCCAAGTGCTGGGATTACAGGTGTGAGCCACCGCGCCCGGCCTTAAACAACATATTTTGCAGCACTTTCCATGCCAGGACATTCAGATATATTTCATTCTTTTTAATGGGTACATAGTATTCCATTCTATGACTGTATCATAATTTGTTTAGTGGTGGATGTTTAGCTTGTAGTATTCTATTTTTTGCTATTATAAATATTTCTGCAGCATACATCCTTGTATGTCATGCAAGGAAAATTTACTGTTTCTTTATTTCCCTTACTACTTTAGTGGGCTTGTTTTGTCCTGCCTAAAAAGATTATTTTCTACCCTAAGACCAAATACATATTTTTTGTTTTTTCTTTTATCTTTACTTTTCTTATGTTTTTTTCTTTTCTCTCTTTTCTTTTATACTTTAACATGTTTAATTCATTTTTATTTTTTAGACATTTCCATGACATTGGTAGAATTATCATTTTTCCATATATTATAGAGTTGTGTGTTTTTTTTAAAAAAATAAATTTTCCGGTCCTCTCTCCCACGGTGGGTGAGTACGGCGGGGGGGTCCCTTTCTTCCTCAGCCAAGGCTGAAGGCAAAGATCAGATCTTGAGGATCATTTTTAAGACTGCCATGTGCTGGGAAACCTTGTTTTCCTACCCCAGACATTTGTAGAAAACAAAACAAAACAAAACAAAACAAAACAAAAACCCAGTTTTTTCACAGAAAAGTTCCTGGTTGGAATCAGTTACTTGGGAAACTTAGGTTGGGTGATGTTCTCATTGATCTCACTTTCATACTCAGCATTTCGGTTCCCATTATTTTCTCTTAAACTACAATTGCCAGATGGCCTAAACCTGTCTTTGCAATAAGGTAGTAGATGTAAATTTTCTCCTCCCCTATTTGCAATAGTTAGGTTGTTAATTAACTGAATGAATACTCAATCTCTGATCCCCATTGCAAACATAATGATGCAAAAGCCAAGATCTGGGTGATTTAAAATCATTGTAGAACCCCAGCGTGAACTCCAAAAGTCAGAATTTGTGCAGTGTTACAATATTTTATTTTATTTTATTTTTAAGAGATGGGGTCTTACTGTGTTTCCCAGCCTGGAGTGCAGTGGCACAATCATGGCTGACTGCAGCCTCGAACCGTTAGGCTCAGCTAATCCTCCTGCTTCAGCCTGCCAAGTAGCCAGGACTTTAGGCCCATGTCCCCACACCTGGCTAATTTTAATTTTAAAACATTTTTGGAGAGATGGTGTCTCACTATGTTGCCCAGGCTATCATAATGTTCAAAACAATTTCAACAGGCTCATTTGTAATAAAATGTAATAGCAGAGTTGTTAAAATCTGCATTTAAAAGATATCTGTTACATAACTGTTTTTTGCAAAAAGAGAATTTGTTTATCTTCTTAAATCTATCTACCTACCTACCAACCTACTCATCTGTATTTAGATCTAGCTATAGATATATTTGAAGAAACAGAAAAAATATGTACAAAGAAGAAAAGAATTTACTGGCACCAAGTTAATTGGTCAACATTTTGGCCAGTTTTCTTCTCATTTTGTATTTGTGCAATGCACACATGGTTTATTTACCTACAAAGTAGAAGAGCACCACCTACATTCTGGCCAAATGTAAAAAGTTGACTATTGAAATTAATATTCAGTGGAACTGAGGCTGAAGGCAAATGTAACCATCAAAGGATAAATTTTAATGGCCCGGTGTAGTGGCTCAAGCCTGTAATCCCAGCACTTTGGAAGGCCCAGGTGGGTGGATCACTTGAGGTCAGGAGTTTGAGATCAGCCTGACCAACATGGCAAAAACCTGTCTCTACTAAAAATACAAAAAATTGTCGGGCGCGGTGGCTCACGCCTGTAATCCCAGCACTTTGGGAGGCCGAGGCGGGCGGATCACGAGGTCAGGAGATCGAGATCACAGTGAAACCCCGTCTCTACTAAAAATACAAAAAATTAGCCGGGCGCGGTGGTGGGCGCCTGTAGTCCCAGCTACTCGGGAGGCTGAGCCAGGAGAATGGCGTGAACCCGGGAGGTGGAGCTTGCAGTGAGCCGAGATCGCGCCACTGCACTCCAGCCTGGGCGACAAAACTAGACTCCGTCTCAAAAAAAAAAAAAATAAAATAAAATAAAAATAAAAATAAAAATACAAAAAATTAGCTGGGTGTGGCGGTGGGTGCCTGTAATCCCAACTACTCGGGAGACTGAGACAGGAGAATCGCTTGAACCTGGGAGGAGGAAGTTGCAGTGAGCCGAGATCGTGCCACTGCACTCCAGCCTGGGCGACAGAGCCAGACTCTGTCTCAAAAATATATATATACACATTTTAATACCAAGGTACATCCAGTTGATCAAAATAATATCAATAAGCATAATTATTACTATAATTTCATATTAAAGTTTTTGTAGTAATATTTTAGAAGTTTGACATTATGGCCCAGGCACAATACCTCCTACCTAGATCTTAGCTGCTGGTCTGCTTGTACCTTTGCAGATTCTTCAGACTGTACCTTTGCCTACTAAGGAGATGCTTGTTTCAGCTAAGGGCAGTGAGCGGATATAATGTTTGTTGCCATGTAGCCATCTTGCCACCAAGTTGTTGGATGTTCTCACCTCTGAATTGTAGCCAACTAAAGACTTATCTACTCTTCGTATTCTGCCTTTAAAGATTGGTAGTTGTGAAATTTCACTGAGGCAGTTCCACAAATTTAAGCTTTTTTTGCCTGATTACAGAAAAATACTGAATATTGTTGTGCTCATGTTTTTGGTTTTAAAAAATTTAAGCTTGGGCAACATGGTGAGATCCCACCTGTACTAGAAGTTATTATATTATTTTTTGAGACCAAGTCTCACTCTGTTGCCCAGGCTGAGTGCAGTGGTGTGATCACAGCTCACTATAGCCTTGACCCCCTTGGCTCAAGTGATCCTCCTATCTTAGCCTCCTGAGTAGAGGGGACTACAGGTGTGCACCACCACACCTGGATAATTTTTTGTATTTTTAGTAGAAGTGAGGTTTTGCCATGTTGCCCAGGCTGACCTCAAACTCCTGGACTCAAGTAATCTGCCTGCCTTAGCTTTTCAAAGTGCTGGAATGAGAAGTGTGAGCCACTATGCCCAGCCGCTACTAACAATTAAAAAATTAGCCGCATGTGGTGGCATGGCTGTAGTCCTAGCTACTTGGGAGGCTGAGGCAGGAGGATCACTTGAATCTGGGAGGTGATTATAGGCAGTGAACCCAGGAGGTATGATCGTGACACTGCATTCCCACCTGGAAGACAGAGCAAGACCTTGTTTAAAAGGAAAAAAAAAATGTATGCACATGATGTATATAATTATGTGGACAAAATTTATCCTTAAGTCTTGGGTTTGGAAAAGTACCAGTGGAGCAATGTAACGGGCTTTCAGGTTAGCAAAAGCTCCGAATTTCCATCTGCATCTCAGTTCTCACTCACTGCACACACGCCAATGCCAGCACCTTTGGTGGAGCGGCATGACTTGAAGCTCCCCGCGGCAGGCATCATCAGGCAATACTTACCCTCTCATGGGACTCTCCAGCCAACAAACCCCTTTCTCTGCAAGGGACTCTTTGTGAGTGAATTCTGTGCTGTAGGTATTCATCTCTGCAAAGTATAATGCTAAGGCTTTCTTTTGAACAAGTAACTGTTTTTTCTTTTTCTTTCTTCAGTAACTACTCTTCCTCATTGTTTGACCATGTTATGTGAGTACATTATCAGGCAGCTCTATAACCTCTTACATGTCATGTTGTTGTCTTTCACTGCAGAAGAATGATGAATGTGACCCCAATCTTGCTGCCACAGCCGACAATTCTGTTACTTTACCCTCTGCTATAATTACTTCCTGAGCACACATAACCAAACGATGTGAACTAAACATATGGCTGTGATTCTTAAACCACTCAGAACCTTGTTTGTTCCATTGTCAATGACAACTGCATGACACCTTCCTTTACCGATTTCCCATTTGTAAAGATTTCTTTTATCACGTTAATGTGCGAGATTGGTGTTCAAGATTAAGAAATTTCTTGATGTGGAAGTAAAGCCAAATGCAGTTGGTTTTGTCATTAATCCATGGTGCTGACATGTAGACAAAAAATTTCTGTTTCTAAAAGTTCACATGTCTAATATACAAAATATTAAATATATTTAATAATATTAACATTTTTGTCAAAGTGGAATATAATTGAGGTATAATCTTTTTGGTAACTTGGTTTTTAGAATTTATATCACGTGGCTGGGTGTGGTAGCTCACGTCTGTAAATTCCAGCACTCTGGGAGGCCAAGGCAGGAGGATTGCTTGAGTCCAGGAATTCAAGACCAGCTGGGCAACATAGAACAACCCCGTCTCATTAAACAAAATAAATTTAAAAAATTTATTTAAATTAAAAACTAATTTAAATCCTGGGCACGTATCAGAAATCCATCATTTTCAATGTCTAAAAATTAGTAGATTCTGTGAAAAACATTTCAACAAGCTTGTTAAAAATTGTAGCTTTCATAGATTCTATACTATAAGGAGTTATCTTATTTGTCAAGTCTGTTGTATATCATTTGTTCATGAAATATGTTTAGGTACCTTGTTTTTCTCTAGCTTTTCCTTTTTCTCATATGAATCGAGAGTGCCTAAGTTTTTAAAAATAAGTATTCTCATATTAACACATAACACTCTGCTGATTGGTCTTATTTTCCATATTAACACTCTGCTGATTGGTCTTATTTTACATTCACAACTTTGAACCACAAATTGGACCTTGACAGTGGTACCTGGTAATCACGCTACACTCTCGAGTAGTTGGGATTACATGCCTGCGCCTGGTTCATTTTTGTATTTTTAGTAGAGATGGGGTTTCACCATGTTGGCCAGGCCGGTCTTGAACTCCTGAGCTCAAGTGATTCACCTGCCTTGGCCTCCCAAAGTGCTGGGATTACAGGTGTGAGCCACTGTGCCCGGCCAAAAGACCCACTCTGTCTACATTCTTCTTAAATTTTCAATTGTTCCTCTCTATCTTCACTCTGCTGATGCTTTTCTTGTTTCACTGAAGAAAGAAAGTACTTAGAAGTTCCCTAGACATCCACCCTTGCCTTACCCACCTGCTAGCATCTCTTCCCACTCACTCCAGCTTCCTGCTTATTCCCGTAGTAGATAAACTCTCCATGTTAGCTGAGCCAGTTAGTCCACATACATATGGATCCTCACTCCTCTTGTCTATCAAGGACAGCCGTTCAGCAAATATTCCATCTGATCAGTTTTTCACTTTTTACTGCATCATTTTATTATCATATTAATACTCTGTTACCTATCTTATCTTTGAAAAAAAGTTCTTCACAACGTCACTTCTTTTTCTGAAAGATGAATATTTATTCACTTTACAAAGAGAATGGTATTAAATTGCCACAAACAGCTCCATTTATAGACAAATATAACTGTATATGACACCAGTAGCTGGTTGAAACTTGCTTTCCCAAGATGCTTATATGACTCCAGCTCTTAGGTTGAGCACACAAATCTCTGTTCTGCCATTGATATTAAAATGTCCCTCAGAGATAATGGTTTTGTTTTACATATTCACAGGTGGGGAAAAAAATCAATCCATCTGCCCAGCCCTATCCTTAGAGGTGAGCTTCCATCTGCAG